AATATTAGCATTAGGGTGGCTGAGGAATGACTCTGTGGCCACTGGTACAAAGAGCAGTTGCAGAGGCTCCCTCCCTCGTCTAAGAGTATCTCCTGTTCTCACCCACACACCCTAGATTTTGGAGAGACACCTTTAGGAATGGCTGGGATGCCCTGGGTGGAGATGACCTGGGTGGAGGAGTGCGTTCGCACAGGATTAGGCACAACCCTACAAACACCCCGTGTTACTTAGCAGGGGAAGAAGCGTTTAGGTGGAGCACACAGGCAGGGACAGGAAGGAGAGGTCAGGGCACAAACAGGTTTTGGAAGAGTGGTGAAATCAGAGCCGCTGCCGTCGTCCCACGCAGCAGCCACCACCGCTCCTCGCTGTGGGAGGAGGCACAAACAGCCCAACATTTGTGTAAGCTGTCAAGCAGAGGGCCTTACTCAGCTGATGGGGGAAGAGGATAGCAGCAAGGGCAGTTTCTTTAGTGTCTATATGGTAATTTGGTTTTGGTCTCACATTGCAGTGGGACAAATGACCTCAGGGCTGCTTTCATCAGGCATAATTATGCAAGCCCATATGGACTTGAAAGCAGGGAAGAAATACCACTGCAGGGAGACTGCCACCCACCCCCCCAGCTGGAGTGATGAGAGACAGATGCTGCTGTGGTTTATGGAGGTGTGATGCTAGTGTTCATTATGGATCCCAATAGGAAAGGTACCCAGACTCTGTAATGTATTGATTAAAACACCATTTGTTGGGGATAACATTAGAAGGCAAAATGGGATAATATTAGATAACGTTACAGCCCTTCAGATGCTGGGAACACCAAGTAGTACAGCATCAGCCCATGCCACGCTGCAGATAGTGTCTGTGCTGAAGTTCACCAGTGTCATGGTCTTCAGGGCTTCTGTAGGATTTTCTTGGAAGTAAACAACTCTGTCATTTCTGCTGTCAATCAAAAGGATGTTCACGTAAGAATGTGCTGCTTCACTCTAAGATAAAGACAAGGACACAGTGGTAGCATCATCACCAGGTGCCAAGCACAAGCAATCTGTAGGCTCCCCAGTTAGGTTGAGCCAGCAAAGTTTATCCTACAGCCAAGTGGTATGTGCAGCACTGGCCTGCACCTTCTCATGTCACCTTACGTGGATCACCAGAGTATTTCCCTTCATAAGAGCTTCCAATATTCCCAGTTACTTTTTTTTTTTAATTCCTGCATCTCTTTCTGTCTCTTCTTTATAATAACCAGGCAGCCTTTACACTGCAGCTTAAATCAACGTTATTATATTTATGCACAGATTTTTACCATCTTCTTGTCTTTCCTTTACAGGAAAGGTGTTAGCATCTTCCATGGTGTCTTGCATTGTATAGGGTTAACTTTAAACAACACTAGAATACAGTAGTTAGTTAAGCTTGGTTATCAGACAGGTATGAATATCCTCTAATACTTACCTATGCCATCTTCCTTTAATGTTACTTCTGTTCTGGTTCCTACATTCATTCTGTTGCTTAAGCACTTGTTGAAAAAAAAAACCTTACTGAAACCAGCCGTTCGGTCACTATGTCTGGCTGCTTCTTTTCCAGTTGCCGTCCCTCTTTCCCTCTGTGAAACAGGACAAACCCATCTACCAGGGCCATTAAGTTGTTAACTGTAACTGCTGAAACTTTTTCTCTCAAGATTACTCAAGGTTACATCCATCACTTAAGTTTCAACTTCTTTACATTGGTTTTGCTTTATAATTGGAGATTTTCGCTACATCCTGGGACATTTTCCAGCCCTTTCTGGTATCTTACAACAATGTTAGTAATTAAAGATGCTGGCTCTTCACATTATAACCTTTTTTTTTGTTCTGTAACATGCTTCTAGAGCTCCTCTCTGTTTCTCCCATTCTTGTGGTTAGCCTCTGCAGTAGGACAGCGTGCATCAGCTATCACCTCTCCAAGGGCTTTGACTTCCACCCCTTGAACATTTAACTCTTCCATCTGTTCACTGTTCCTGGAAGCAACTTTTTATCATTTCCATTTTCTTTCTGCCTTCACCCACCCATGAGTGATGGATGCTATTTTCTTTCTTAGGGTAAGAGAGTTGATATTCATACCTTTACCCTCCCAGAGTTATGGCTTTCAACACAGCTGGGAGTTTTGATCTCTTTCCCTCTGTGAGCTGACTCATCTTTTTAAGTGAAGAAAGCCTTTGGCAAATGTTTATTTCCTATGTAACTATTTTTCCAACTTCCAGGGAGCTGAGTATGGAGGGTTTGGCCTTGGCCTATTTTCTTGGGCCTTTGTCTGCTCTGTGACGGATAGTTTGCTGTTTCAATAGTTGGGGTATTTCTGAATATGTTCCTGAAGCGAGTTACACAGTTTGATCACCAATTGTACACTTTGAATACAATCACAAAGGATGAATCCCCCATCCCCTCATACAGGGGTTCCCCTGTCCCTGAGGAAACACCTGGGTCAGGTTTAAGCCAGTTTACAAGTTGGCCGAGGATTTAACCCTGGCCGTGGTGTGAGGTTTAAGTGTAACGCTTAAGTTTATATGCATGCCCGACACCTGGTGAGGCCCTGCCAGCACGAAGGACCCCAACCATTCGAGAGACCTGTGCACTTGTCGCCCCGGAGCGTTGCAGCAGCACCCCGAAGCCTTGGTGAAGCCCTGTGAGCATGGTGGAGCCCCACCAGCTGCGAGACCTGTGTGCTCACTGCCTGAAGCTGTAAGGGTAACAGGTACACAAGATCTCCAGCCAGCCAGGTGATCCAGGTGTCTGCCGCCCTGAAGTGTAATGATTATTGGCATTATAATGCAGCATACTGTGTGACTGGACCCCGTGCCAGCATATGGGACCAGGCAGGCACCCATCCTTTTCCTCGCTATCTTTCTTCCAGTAAGGCGTTTCTCACCAGGATCCTGCCAGCTCCACCAAATGTAATGCACCGGTGCAAGTGTTTGTTACGGATCCCAGTAAGAAAGGCACTCGGAGCCCATAATGTATTAATTAATTAAAATACCATTTTGGGGACATAACACAAAAAAGGGGTATAGCATTAGATAATCCTACATGCCTTCAGATGCTGCAAACATCAAGTTGTACAGCATCAGACAGATACGTAGTCAGGCCATGGCACACTGCACAGATCCCATCCATGTTCACCAGCATTGTGGCCTTCAGGGCTTTTATAGCATTTTCTTAGGAGTAAACAACTTTATTCATCATTTTGCTGTCAAGCAAAGGGTTGTTCACATAAGAACATGCTGCTTCTAAGATAAAGACAAAGACGTGGTGGTGGCATCACCAGGTGCCCAGTGGGAGCCACCTGTGGGCTCCTCAGTCAAGATTAGCCAGCTAAGTTTATCCTGCAGCCAAGTGATATGCGCAGCACAGACCTGCCCCTACCTACTCAGATCAACTGTTAGGTGAATAATGTTTCTGTGAAGACCTCCTAATTCACAATTGCTCCTACTTTTTCTCTCCTATTATCTCAGAATAAAGAAGGTAGTCACAGGTCAGCGGATTATGCAATAGGGGCCTGGATTCTCCCCTTCCCCCAGTTGTTTCCCCTTCTCTCCCAGTTCTGCTGTGACAGAGGGCACATGCTTCAAACACAGCACATGAGCCTACCTCCAGCGAGAACACTTTGCAGCTGTGTCAATATTTGAAAACTGCCAACAGTTAGTTAGGATAGGCACCAAAGGGAGAGCAGTAGGAAGCACTGCTACTTCAAATACAAGCCCCCCCTCGTACGCCTGTGCTCCCACTGGTCTGTCTCCAAGCTCTCAGGGCAAAGACTAGGCTCATCTGCCCCCTGACTTTAAAGAAAATAATAGCTAAAAATAAGGACACCCAAAGGTTTATTAGCCAAATTCACCTTCCATCCTCACTTCACATCAAAGTGTGGTGGATCTGACGCTAGCATCTTGTCTGCAAACTGGTTGTAAAAGTTTATGGAAAAAGTTGAATGTAGGAACCGCAAAGAGCGACTTTTTGGATTGTCACATTATGGCATTTGTAGCACTCCAAAACTGTGCTACTGATGATTCCCTGGTGACACTATACCCTCCTCCTCTTGTGCAGTAGGCGTAAAAAGCCCAGAGAATTTAAGGCCCTAAACAAAACTTTTTTTGGGAAATGCAGATGTTAGAGAGGTGCAAGACAGAGCGCAAGAATAACTAAAACTGAGGACGCAGCAAATAAAAGCAGTGTTTGGGGCAAGTCTCAAAGATCTCTGTTAGGTCTGGTATTGTCAGTCTCTTCCTATGAGGTCAAGTTCACATGGCATTGGGAACTGTGCACATCCTTCCTGAAATGGGACCAATTTCCTTCAGCGTGTCTCAGTTGGCAAATGAGCACTGAAGATGGAGCAGTGGGAACACTGGGGTATAGTTGTGGTAGTGCTGTCTTTTAGCTTTTTGGTGCAGGAGCAGGAAAGAAGTGGAAGAGAGGAAGCAAGAATGTGAGAAAAAGACCAAGGGAAACAGATTAATGAACCCAACTTGAACATGGAGGGGAAAGGCAAAATATTCTGAACGTGCTGAGGTGAACTGCTGAACCCTTACCTGGAGAGGGAAGGAGCCTCTCAGCTGGGGACAGTGAAAATGCACTGTACAATGCTCTTCGCACAGCGAGACACAAAGCTATCCTTTCATGTCCTCAGACAGATCATCCAGTTACTGTAAGGCCAGGAAGCCGGCAGCAAGCAAAACAGGTGACAGTGGAGAAGGAACACTCAGCCCTAGCTCCAAGGCAGGACTTTGCTCCTGCTAATTGTGAAAAACGCTCTTCAAAAAACCTGCAACAGAGACACCTTGTAAACACTTGGGAAGCTGCTTCCCAGCAATGTCTGGCATCAGCATCACCTTCAAATGATGAGAAGTGCTACTGCGCTCCAAGAGTAAAAGCCCAGGAAAGTGCTTGAATAGCAACAATTAATTAGAGAAAGAAAAACTTGAAAGGAAGGCATTGTTCAAAGCCATTGCTTTGAGACTTCTCCTGCCTTCCCCATGGTGCACTGTGTAAGAGAGGCAGAGCAGAAGCACTGCTCATTAATGCTGTGGGTGTCTTCTCTAAGAAATTATTCCCATCAACAGCCAAGAGCCAATGCCTTCCCTGCACCAGGCCCGGCTCACAGCTCCAAGGAGCAGCTACCGAAAAGACCCAGGTCTACCCAGGCAGTTACCTCCAAGACTGCTAATTCTGCCTGGGGCTGAGCCACAGGGCCTTGTTGCCACAGAAAGACAAAAGAGCTAGGTTTTTTTGTTGGGTTTTTTTACCCCACTTTAATAAGTACAGAAGATCAGCCAGGGCAGGCTGGGATAGTCAGGTCCCAGACTCGACCTCCACCACTTCTGCCACTGCTCCAAAGCCCACCCCCTCCTGGATGATGACCACGTCACTCGGTGAGCCCTCATCCTGCACTATAATGCATTTGTCCTCATGCTTGGAGATGGTGATTTCAATGATGTCCTTTGCCAACAGCAAATGCCCAGCAGGCCTCCTGTGGGCACCAGGATCTGGGGGGCTGCCTCGAGACTGGTAAGTAGCAACGCAGTGACCGCTAGCTGTGATCAGCAGTTCAGCCTCATTTGCTGGCCCCGGCACCTCCACCATGAGCAAGGTGGGCTCTGCCGCAACCTCCTCCTGGCAGCCCTTCCTCTGAGGCTTTTTCCTTGCTGCCTGGGGTAGGTCCACAGCGAGCGAGGCCACTGCCGTGGCGAGTTCCTCCGGGTCCTTTTCCGCCTTGTGGGTGAGCACATGGCGCGCAAGGCTCTGGGGAAGGGCGTAGCCCATGCCACAGAGCTCACATTTGTAGGGCTTGCCAGCCAGGTGGGATTTCTGATGGCGCCGCAGCTTCGTGGCCAGGGTGTAGGACTTGCCGCACTGCTCGCAGCGGAAAGGGCGCTCGCCTGTGTGCAAGCGCTCGTGGGCACGTAGCGTGTGGGGGTCCCGCAGCGCCTTGCCGCACACAGTACACAGGTGGGCCTCACCTGTGTGGGAGATGAGGTGTCGCCGCAGCTCCGGCAGCTTGGGGAAAGCGTCGCCGCAGAAGCGGCACTTGTAGGGCTTCTCGCCCGTGTGCAGCCGGAGGTGCTCGCGCAGGTTGCTCTGCTGTCGGAAGTCCTTGCCGCAGTAAGGACAGGCGTAAGGGCGCTCCCCCGTGTGCAGGCGCATGTGATTGCGCAAGGAGCCGGGGTTGGCCAAGTGGCGTCCACATATGGCACACTGGTATCCTTTGGGACTAGTTGGGCCAGTCCCAGCGGCCAGGTGGATCTTCCTGTGAATGCGGAGAGAGGGCCGGCGCGCGAAGGCCTTGCCACACTGCTCGCAGGAGAAGGGGCGCTGGCCGGTGTGCAGGACCTGGTGTTCCTGCAAGTCTCGTTTGGTGCGGTAAGCCTTGTCACACTGGGTGCACTGGAAAGGCCGCACACCCCGGTGGGCCAACACGTGGGCCTTGAAGCTCTCCTCTGAACTATAGCTCTTGCCACACTCCGTGCACAGGAAGGGTTTGTGGCCAGCATGGACAAAGCGGTGCTTCTTGAGGTGGCAGAGCTGCAGGAAGGCTTTACCACACTCCCCGCAGCGGTACCTGCGCTTGATCATCTCCTTCTGGGATAGAGCTTTTGGTGGGGGGCCTGGGCTGCCAGAATGACCCTCCGCCAGCTCTGTATACTCCTCCTGCCCCTCAGGCCCCTCCAGTGGGCCCTTTCCCCCATGCTCTGGGGATGCCAGTCTGGAGTCTTTGGAAGCTTTGCTCTCTTTCTCACAAGTTTCTACACTCTCTCCTTCAGAAGGACTGGGCTGCTGGGATTCCTGCCCAGCTGTCCTGCCACCACAGTCCTGCAGGCACTCCTGGAGCTGGCTGGTCAGAGCATGCACCTTGCATGGCTCGGCAACCAAGCGAGCAGTGAGTCGAACCCCGCTTGAGGGCGACGACAGATCCAGGTCTCCTGGACATGCCTCTTTATGCCCCATCTCCACTTTTTCTGCTGCAGATCCGGGATCCACATCCTTGTCCAATTCTTCCTCGCACCTGCCATTGGCCTTAGTGGTTAAGATGGTCTCGAGGTGCTGATTCTCCGTCCTCACCGCCTTGGCTTCCCATGGCTGATGTTCAGAAGCTGTGCTTTCCTCTTCTTGCAGCCTGTGGAAACGTTTGGCAGCCAGCCTGCTAACCTCAGTAGGGACATCAAGGACTGCAGTTTCATCAGCCACCATCCTGGAGACATCGGGATCCCCTGCACAAACACAAAAGCACGGTGGGTGAATTAACACTGGCTGTTCTATACGACACAACTGCTGCTGGATCAGAGGACCATGAACGTTGGAGACAGATGCTCTGCTGTGCACTAATCCTGGGGCCCTGGCATGAAACCCGTTATTTGTGTGACTTTTTTCCTTTTAAAACTGGGGAAGGTAGGGGAAAATCTCTGTTCTCTCACCCCAGACAGTATCCGTGCACTACTTCTAGTATTTCACAGGCAGCATTTCCAGGAGATACCACCGTGACTGGCATAAAACAGGGCGGCACGCTGCGTTCTCGGCGGGTAGCTCTTCAAAGCGACTCAAGGTCAGGACCGCAATCCGAACGCGCCAGGGCACAGACCCCGGCGAGACAGCCGAAGGCGCTGGGTCGCCAGCCCCCCAAAAACCGTCAAGGCCAGGCCGTTCGTTTCACCCAGGCTGGGAAGCGGGTTCCCGGCGCGGCACCTACCTGCCAGGGGCTCCGCCGCCGTCCCACCGGCAGCGGCCCCGCGGGCCTCTTCGGGCCAGTAGAGCAGCTCCGCGCCCGCCGGGATGGGCCGCCGCGCCCGCAGCTGCAACCGGCCGCCCTCCCGGCCCAGCGCCACGTTGGCCTCCGCCTCCTTCGGGCTCCTCCGCACCAGGCTGCAAGGCACGGCCACAGCGTCGGCCA